AATTCTTTTTATCAGTTGTTGAATTTATAATCATAAAGTTGGTCATAATTTCTTAATTATTTTTTACTAAATGTAAGGTCTAATATTGGTGATTTGAGTTTTTTTATTCTTGTTCAATCTAGCTAGAGTTTAACCGATCTTTTTTTTTTTTAATAATTGTTGCCAAAGAACTGTTCTTGGCTTTATCACTTTTCTCTATTGTTTGTTTTCTGTTTCGTTGACTTCTGCTCTCATCTTCATTGTTTACTTCTTTGTATTTTACTCTTAAACCTGTTAGGTGATGTTCTTTATCGGGGGAGAGAAGGATGGCTTGGCCTCGGGTGCAAGCTCGCTCCTAGAATTCTTTAAAAGCAAGAAATGACTACACACTCTTAGGTGGCATATAGCAAAATGTCTTTATTTTTCCACTCCCCTTTATTGGAAGCTAGTCATGTACACCACATTGATCAATAATCCTGACATCCTCATTTCTTATCTTAAACTATAGAAAAGAAAGAAAGTCCAGGAAAGTGAGATAGCCATCATAAGATTAGCCTAAAGAAAGAAAGTCCGGGAAAGTAAGACAACCATCTTAAGCTAGCCTCAGGCTCTTCCTCTTGGAAGATCTAAAAGAACAATACATTATCTGACTTCTATTGTTGAAGTTAAAGATTAGGATAAACAGAGGAGTAAAACCTTTCTCTTCTATGTACTCAATTAAATTTCCGAGAAACTGGCTTCATGACTGTTTTCTTAAGGTTTTGGAGACCTTGCAGTTACGATGGAGTATTTTACTCAACATCATTAAGATGGAGTTTTTCTTTTTACTCACATCAACCTTTGAGTCACGTCCTCTGCACAGATGGGCCGTTTCAACCCTTATCTGACAGGCTGACTTGACTGCACAGTCGGGTTCCCTGTAGGAGATTTTTACACCTGGCCTGCAGGCCCCCACCGTGGGCTTCGACAAAAGCGCATAATACTCACAAGTCTTTTCGCTCAGTTTCTGGAATTAAAAAAGCACATTTCATTTAATTTTTGTGGGGGCTTACCCCACGTAAACCTTGGATCATTGATTTCAGATTTTTTTTAACCTTTCTACTACTATGTACTACAAGCACTTAAAATGATAAATCTGGCTTGAAACATTGCTTTGACTATGTTCCACAAATTTTGATATGTTAGACTTTTCGGGGGTTTTTTGTTTTGTTCTGTTTTTCTATTTTAAACATTTTTCTCATTTCCTTTATAGCCTATAGCTTATTTCAAATTGTGTTGTTTAATTTTCATGTGTTAAGATTTTCTTCTGTGTCTTGTGAATCATTTCTAATTTAGTAGTCAGAGCACTACCCTGTATGATTTCAGTGCTTTTGACTTTGTTGAGTCTTGTTTCATGGTTCATCATATGGGCTGTCTTGGTGAATATATGTTGTGCACTTGAGGAGAGTATGTATTCTTCAGGTTTTGGAAGTAGTGATCTTTAAATATCAATCCGGTCACAGTAGTTGATAGTCTTGTTCAAAGTCTCTCTGTCTTTACTAATTTGTTTTCTAGCTCCAGCAAATGTCAAGATAGAAGTGTTAAACTCTTCTATTATGATTGTGGGATTATGTATTTATTCTTTTAATCCTGTCTTTTTTGGTTTACATATTTTGAGGCTCTATTATTAGTAACATACATGTCAGAAACTGCAGAGGTTCTGAGATTTTACCTCCATGCATATGTCTACTTTACCTTGCCACATCTAGAGTACCTAGAGTACCACCCTATCAACAAAGAGAGAGGATGGTGATAACTTATTAGCTTCCAAATAGCCTGCCACGGTTTCATTGAGGGAGGCAAAAACATGAGACACCTGGGTCAGAGACAGAGGACACTTGATTATTCACAGAATATCATCATTTTATTTGTGCTAATTCTCCCAGAGCAACCTCAGGTGGTTTTGATGTTTATATTTTCTGTAGTGTTTTCTGTATTGTCCTCACTTTATTTGGGAGGGAGGGTTGTTTTGGTTTAGTTTTTTAAATTAGATGTGCCTGCCTGAGTTTCTGTCTTCTTTACTTTTGGTATTTGCTTTCATTACTCCCTCTTTCTGGATATTTCGTACTCAGAAGTACACAAATAGAAATGTTCTCTTTTCTACTGTTTATGAGCGTCTCCTAAATCTTTAAGGAATTTCATTTCTGATTCTGCCAGCAATAAAAGTAATTTTTAAAAATTTTTTTGAGGTAGAGGGTATCTATATTTTTAGACTGTTTTATTTCCAGTGATCTTCATTTCTTCCTGAAGATTCAGTTTTCCATCTCATTCTCGTATAATTTCCCTTCAACATAAAGAATTCCCTTTAATATTTTTGGTAGTATAGATATGCTAAAAACAAATTTGGGGAATTTCTTTTATATGTGTGTCAAAGTTTATTTTTTTCTCCTTATCAAAAGATACTTTCACTGGAAATAGAATTGTGGGATAACATTTTCGTTCTTCCAACACTTTAAAGTTGTTCTTGTACTGATTTCTGCCCTCCATTGTCTGTGGGTTTTGTTTGTTTGAAATGGTGTTTTCCTCTGTTGCCCAGGCTAGAATGCAGTGGCATCACCATAGCTCATTGCAACCTCAGATGCCTGGGCTGAAAGCAGTCCTCCTGCTTCAGCCTGCTAAGTAGCTAGAACTCTACAAATGGGTGCCACAGTGCCCAGCTAATTTATCATCATCGTCATCATCATCATCTGTAGAGACAAGATCTTGCTGTGTTGCTCAGGATGATCTTGAACTTCAGGGCTCAAGTGATCCTCCCACCTCGGCCTCCCAAACTGCTAGCATTATAGATAAAACTTTTTATTTTATTACTTCGTGTTCCTTATTTTATTTTATATATATATATAGGGGGTACATACATTTGTTACATGCATATAATATGTCATGGTCAAATAGGAGTATTTGGGTATCTATCATCTTGAATACTTTTTTTAGGAGGGGGGAGGATAGAGGTAGGGTCTTACTTGTTGTCCAGGCTGATCTCCAACTCCTGTCCTTAGGCAATACTCTCACCTTACCCAAAGTGCTGAGATTATAGGCATGAGTCACCACTCTCAGCTTATCATTTCTATTTTGATTTAAGAGTCATTGGTGATTCAAATTCATCTTCCAGTGTATGAAGTCAGGTAGATTTCAAGTTTTTCTTTTTTCTTCATCTTTGTGGTATTTTAGATTAGATAATTAATCTAAATTTTTTTTCTTTATCTTTGGATGTAATCATTTTGACTGTGATGTGTCTAGGTGTGGTTTTCCTTCCTTTAATCCTTTTTAAGTTCTTCTAGGCTTCATGATTATGTAAACCCATGCTTATTTACCTATTTGGGGAAATGTAGGGTTCTTATTTCTTCAAGAAATTAGAAATATTTCTTCTTATTTTCTACCTCATTTTTTTTCTTTCCCTCTAGGACTGTAATTATACCTGTTGTAGACCTTTCACTTTCACAAGAATGATCTTTTAATGTAAACCTTATCATTTCTTCTTTACATTTAGAAGCAGTGGCTTCCCGTTACAAGTAGAATACAATCCCTACCCTTTGCCATGTCTTTCATTGCCTTCTGATCTACCCATAACTGTCTCTCTTTATCTCATTTCCTGCTTCATTTCTCTATACTCCTTATGCTTCTATTGCACTAAATTTTATTCTTTTCCTGGAACATGTCAGTTATTCTTGCCTTTATACTTGATGTTACCTTTACCTTCAACCTCTTCCAGCAGATCTTTGTGTGGCTAACTCCTTTAGATGTCTGCATATGTTACCTCCTAAGAGAACCTTTCTCGTACTATTATAATTCAGCTAAAAGCATCCCTATTCCCTCAGCAGACATATACACACACTCTTCAGACCCACACCTCTTTTTTAACAGCTTTACTGAGACACAGTTTGCATACCATAAAATTCAGCCATTTAAAATATTTAATTCATTGGGTTTTAGTATATTCACACATATATCTGCACATTTAATCTTACACATAATCTGTCTTATTCATATTTTTCCTAATACTTAGAACAATCTCTAGTATGTAATATAGGCAGTTCCTGAATTACAAACATCTGACTTACATACAACTCGAACTTATGAACAGAGGCTATTATAGGTTATAGGTAAATAGACCTGTCCAACTTACATACACATTCAACTTAAGAACCTATCTCATTTGTAACTTGGGGATTGCCTATACATGCTCACTGAATTTTTCTGAATAAGTGAATTTATTGGTTCTAGGATAATTTAGGCAGTAGCCTTTAATAAAATATTGGGAAGATTCATTTGACCACATTCAGTTCAGATCTGTGTTAGTTTACAGGCTCTCTGAAATAATTAACAGCTTACCATATTTGAAGGTTTATGGAGGCTGGGCACAGTGGCTCACCCCTGTAATCCTACTTCACCTCTGGGAGGCTGAAGTAGGAGGATGGCTTGAACTCAGGAATTGGAGATCAGCCAGAGCAAGAGGAAGACTCCATCTCTACTTTAAATAGAAAAATTAGCAAGGTATTGTGGTAGGTACCTATAGTCCCAATTATTCAGGAGGCTGAGTCAGGAGAATTGCTTGAACCCAGCATTTTGAGGTTGTGGTGAGCTAGGCTGATTCCGTGGCACTCCAGCCTGAGCAAAAGAGTGAGATTCTGTCTCAAAAAAAAAGCATTATTAAAGGAAGTTTTTTAAAATGCCTTTTGATATAATGAATGTAAATAACGTACATATTTTCCTAAATGAATAAGTCATCTTTTACCCACTTGACAATTGCTAAGGAGCTGAAAGCCTCCCAGAAATATTATCTTTCTACTTTCAAAAGTACTACTGACATTGTTTATATCTTTGACATAGATTATACCCTTTCTAATGCTGATTTTACCATTTCTAATGCTTATTTACTAGTTACGTTAACACTGGGTTATTTGTGAGATTCTATACATCCCATTTCCATAGGTGCCTCTGATGTGGAACATCCATGATTAATCCATGTCATCTCTTCTTTATAGGCTTTGATGCGGCCTGGAAGAATTGATAGAATCATCTATGTGCCTTTACCAGATGCAGCAACAAGAAGGGAAATATTTAATCTGCAGTTTCACTCTATGCCTATCAGTGATGACGTTGACTTGAATGAACTAGTCCTCCAAACTGATACATACTCAGGAGCTGAGGTAAGATAATAATCCTTCCTCAAAATACCTTAGTGGAAGGAAGGAATGGCTTGAGGTCATTTAGCAAAAAAAAACCCTCCTTGCTTTCCAACACATTGACTGCCACACTACCAAAAAAAAAAAAAGTATTCCTTGGGGCCACAGTGTTTTATTACAAAAATAGAATAAAAAATGTAAAAACAAAATGATCCTTTCTAATTTAATGAAAATTTTTTTATTTTCTTTGCATGCATTATATGCAATTCATGTGGCACTGGCATCCATTTTTACACTGCACACTGTGTGTTATATGGGACTCACAGCATACTTACTGAATTTGTTTCTAAGAATTGATTATTTTGTCATTCCACAAGTACTAAGTTGTGCCTGGAGTTGACCTTAGATGGTCCTTGAATGAATGATAACCTCTGAATCATACCGCCTAAGTACCTACAACAGTGTCATGTTGCCACCAGGCAAATATTCAAGACTAAATGCACAATCAGAAGTTATGGTAATCAGAGAACACAGTCCAGTGTTTGCTTGGGTGGCATACTATGTGGCTCACTTGGGCAGGCCACCTGGAGCAGGGCAACAGGTGAAGGGCATATGCCAAATGACAGCAAAAACAACGAGCAGAGGTTTCACAGCTTCATAAGGTCCTGGCACAAAACTAGTGTGAATTAAAAACAACTCATATAGTAGGTAATGTGTTAAATACTAAGAGATCTTTAAAACAAGGAAGACAGTACATGATACATAATCACTAAGTTAAATTCCATCTTATCTGGTCTTTATTATAGTTCGTTTTTTACCTGCTTTTATTATTTCACCCTGCTGTTTTCTCATGGAGATCATAGAAATTAGGTTATCATGGAATTAGGAATTAGGTTATCATGACTATAAAGGAGTTAACAAAAAGATTATATTATTGTCATGTTTCATCATTTTGGAAAATTATCAATATAGTTTAATATTAACAAAGATTCTCTTATAAAAACAATAAAAGGGACCATCTGCCCACAGTTAACTGTGAAGGTATGTATACTTAACAGTAACAGCAAGACCTCTGTGAAAATAGAAAAATCACTTTAATGTACAGCAATTCTTTTTTTTTTTTTTTT